CGCTTCATAAAACCATGTTCGAATGGATAAGACTTAGTAATTCACTTAGTTCCCTCGTCATTCTCTTAAACACTTGTTATTTTGAATGTGGTAATAGGTGATCGTGTGATCACACATTGTGAAAACTCAAGAGTTTTGATCTCTTAGTTCCCTCGCCTAATGCGAATGCGTAGTATTAGATTAATGTGGTAGTAATAGACACATTTAGACAAACGAATCAATAAAATACGTGGGATCCACTGAGATAAGTTGTATCTCACCCATGTCTAATATTTCAGGTGGTTTGGGAAAAGATAAAGCTAAAGGAAATACTTGAAGATTGAAGACCTTGACATTTTGTCTTATATTTTTGCTACAGTTGTTCATCTTTTGTTGAATTTACGTTGACATCTGCATTATGTTCACACTATGTTTTATAATCGTTAGAAACTTTTGTAACTCTATGGATGCCATTTAGACAATGAATGTAATCAATACCAATTAATTTTATATTTTAGTAGAAAGAGAATTTAATAACTATTAAAATTATTTTATTATTATTATTAAACTATTTTATTTTATCACTCCGACGCTCAAGTCATCATGTGAGAGAGTAGATAATATACAATCATAGATGACCTTCAAGGATAAGTTGAAAGTTTCATCTGTTGCACTCACGAATTCACCAAAACACGATCAATCATTAAAAGTAATTTAATATTTTTTAGAATTTTAAATCAAAATTAAAAATAATTAAAATATATTAATTCAATTTAATATAAAAGTATTGATAGAACAAGATTTAAGATAAATAAAAGTTTAATGTTCACTAAAGTAAAAAATAATTACATTTTTCTTAGTATTGTTCACACAAAATGATATCAATTATAATCCAAATTTTTTTCTCTGACATTTTTTTTAAATTTGATTATATAATTAAAAAATAATATTTTAAAATTCAACAAATAAATAATTCTTTTTAGGGAGGTATAGTTACGAAATATAAAAAAATATAAAATTTTGAATAAAAAAATAAAAGAAAATCGATAGAGTAGTGATTCAACTCTGAACCGCTAAATAATAAAAATTATTATTACTAAGTATTGATTGAGTTGAGGTTAAACTCTAAACCTTCCAAATAATAATAGGTAGCAATTAGGCCCTAAATACCATTAAGCCAACATGTTTTATTAAAAAAAATTGAGATTTATATTATATATAATAAGTTTAATTCTCTATTAAAATAAAATTTGATAATATTATTCCTCTCAAAGAGGGAGAGCCTTTAGAGCTTTCTTTTGTTTTTTCTCTCAAAAGGCACAGAACTCAATCCTAACCTAACAACCATTTGGAATTCGCTCAAAACAAAACTCTCGTCACAAAGAAATTGTAGAATGGCTCGAGCATCGATCACGTTTGGAATAAAAATAGCAGATGATATTTACCATTGCGGCAAGTCCGAAAACCGCTATGTATATCACCATTGCGGCCATGGCGCCGCAATTTGATAACACTGTTTACTCGTATATAATAGTTAATAAAAAAATACTTTATTTTATATGCAACATTACTTTCGCCATTTAAGTCGATATTTATTTGTTTAAATCTCTCTTTCAGATTTAATCGTCATAAACTGGTAGTTGCAAAATTTTCTCACATCACACGTACTCATTTGAATAAGAGAAGTTGGAGATTAAGTAACAATTGCAACAACAAGAAAAAGAGATGGTTGACACGAACATTAAACTTTCATTGTTAATGAATCATTTAGGATTTGCTACATCTTATTCTCATCCACCTCAAGCCAATATTGAAACTGATAATCCAAGTGAAGATGATGTTAATGAATCAGATGAAAACATTAGTGAACACATTAGTGAATTTTGATTTGAATTGTTTTTTCTTGTTAACTAGTTTGAAATTTATATTGTTTTTTCTTGTTAACTAGTTTGAAATTTGCATTGTTTTTTCTTATTAATTTGGTTGGACATGTGATTATTAGTAACTTACTTGTTATTGACTTTATAGTAATGTTTGGTTTCTTTAAAAATTTAAATATGATTAGTGTTGCATTGGCTTATTCAAATTAGATTTTTATATTATTGTTACTTTGATATTTAATATTAATTATAATATTTTAAATATGAACTAAACACAATATTAGTTACCTGCGGTATTATCTGCGAACTTATCTGTTTTACCAGCGATTAATTTCTGCGACTTTACCTGCGAACATTTCCTGCGACTTTACCTGTTAAATTAGACCCACACATTATTTTTAAGGATAAGTCAACTATTCACAAGTACAAATTTACTTTAATTGGAAACACTATATTATATAAAACATCATCTAGCAAAATTTATAAAAATCATTTTAACTTCATAAAGTTCTCAAAAAGAATTTGTGATGTTGGTATTTGATGAATTAGTCTTTTTACTAACTAACAAATATAATATTAATCATGTTTTTTATTTTTATTTTTTAAAATTGTTTTTAACTATAGTTATAAATATATATTTGAGAAAAGTGACATTAATAATGTTTAATCCACCATAAGTTTTTCTACTAATTCCCATATCAATTCTTTTTATACTCCCACACTATTTTTGTATGCATATTAAATTTTTCTCTTCTATTTTAATTTTTGAAGTATAAACTATTATTATTGTTACTATTATTTTTCTCATCTATTTTTGAAGTATATATATAAATTCAAAAAAACAATACAACCTCTACTAGAAATACAGGAATTACCTACGGATTTTCCTGTGTAAATTTATCTGCAGATGTACCTGCGATTTTACCAGCGAATTTATATTGTGAAGCATTATTTCCTGCGAAAATTAAGTAGCAGCAAACTTCGTAGAAATTCCTGAGAGTTTACATGTGATTTTAGATTTATAATAATATTGACATTTTCCTGCGATATTTCCTACAAAATTATCCTGCGACTTTACCTGCTAAATTAATTACCCACGACGGTTTTAGCTGGAAACTGAAAATAGCAAGAAGAATCGCAGGTAACACGTTTTCTGCGAAAACTTTGTTAAAATCTGCAGGTAAATTCGTAGAAAAACTGAGTTTTTCTAGTAGTGAACCAAGGTAATCCACAAGGAATTCAACCACATCTCAAAGACTAAGATTAAATCATAAAGCTAACTAGATGACTTCTAATTTTTAAATTTATTCAACCTCTATACACTACATTATTTATAATTGTTGTGACTATATTTGTATTATCCATATTATTCCCAAACACTATATCTTTTTTATACCTCCAAATGCTGTAAATGGACTCAACTATTAATATTTTCATGAGGTCCACTTTCCAACCTTTTACCTTTTGTTATGCCACTAATCCAACCCAATTCATCAATTCAATGTTTGGGATCATGAGTCACATCCACCCACTAAAGCACGACCTGTCAAATGGATTTAGTCTTACTGCAGCAGAAAAATAAATGGTTTAAAGTTTCATCATCATTATGGCACAAACTACAAGTACTATCTTGAAGTATCCTAAATCTTTTCATTCTTTCCTTAGTAGCTAATTTTCCGTGGCAAGCAAGCCATAATCACTGCACTGCTCTAGGCCTGGATTTGTTGAACTTAATGAGCTTTCTCCAAGGCACCCTTTGGCCATCATCAATGAGAAAATTGTAAAAGGCAGATGCTTTAAATTTTTAAAGATTCAGAGTATTGTTCCACTCTTTCTACAAGAGCATCAATTTCCCTTTTTGGTTCATAAGCCACGCAAGTTCTAAGAGTTATGTGACTTAATCACATAATTCATGACAGTTGTTCCTTTAAGATAATATGTGTGAATCCACTTCACCCACATATTATTTGTCTTGCTACAAAGGTTCCACAAACACTTCAATAACAAGACATCATTCCATACACTAAGATTCTTCCTACATAGCTTAGCATTTTAGAATACCAGTGGTGGATCCGAGCCACTATTTTTTTCACCAATGGTATGAAGTTATTAATGGTTAGCCTCTTACTAGATAGAGGAACTCCTATATACTTGAAAGGGAGAGTTCCCTTTAGAAATACAGATAAAGTCCTCAACATCTCTTTATTCCTACAGTCTAACCCTCCAAATTAGATCTTGCGCTTACTAGGATTCATCACCAGAGAAAATCTTAAATGATTTTAGCATCATTTGCATAGAAATAACATCTCCTCTACAAAATAGAAGGACATCATCAGCAAATGTGAGATTTATGAGATTCAAATTCTCGCACTTTGCATGATAGTTGAAATTGGGATCTCTTTTCATCTTATACATAAGCCTATTCATATATTCCATAATGAGGACAAAGAGAAAATGTGAGATAGGATCACCTTGCCTTATACCTCTTTTTGCTTGCAAGAAGTCAAAATACTTTCCCATAATATTGAACATGTAAGAAACTGTGGTAACACCTGTCATGGTCCATTGAATAAATTTGCAAGGTATACCAATATCCTTCATAATACACTCCAAAGCTCCCAAATTGACCATATCATAGGCCTTTTAGAGATAAACCTGCATCATTATTCTAGGAGTTCCACCTTTCCAAGTGTACCCTTTAAGAAGCTCGTAAGCAAGCACTATATGGGTGTGTATGTTCTGGCCTGGCACAAAAGTCATGATCTTGGATATGATTTTGTAAAATGTGGTACATCCAGCTGTGGGCCTATAGTCCTTCACCTCACTAGCACTGCTACTTTTAGCAATCAGAGATACCACAATACTATTGAGAGCTTTATAAATCTTACCTATCTCAAAGTACTCTTTGACAACAGCAATCACATCAACTTTAATAGTATTCCAGTTCGATTTAAAGTCTCATATACCTTTAAGAGCTTTGGTGATATCAGCCTCAGTAATGCTTCTGACGAGAAACTTCCTTTGCTCCATATCAAGCTGTTTACCCATTCTCATTGCCTATATGTCAACATGGGTGATATTGTTATCTGCTTTTCCCATCAAATTTCCATAGAAGTCCAAGATTTCCTTTTCAATTTCCTTCTAAGACTGGATACTAGTACCATCATTCTTTTTCAAATTGCTCAAACAGTTGGAATGCTGCTTAGCTTTAATAGAGGCATAAAAATACAAGTTGTTTCCATCTCCTTTCCTAAGCCATTCTATTTTAGACCTTTGTTGCAAGATCTTCTCTTCAAGCTCATTAAGAGAAATAACTTCCTCTGTAAGCTCCTTGACTTTTCGAATAATAATAATATTCATTCTATTAGCACTCAACTCCTGTTGGGCTTTTTTGAGATTATCTCTAGCAAATAACAACCTTTGCTTAACATCAGAAAGGGGCTTACTGAAGCTTCTCAGATCATGCTTCAATCTCTTAAGTTTATGCCAAAGAACAAACATAGGACTACACCTTATAGGAGCCTCCCAATTTTAACCACTTCATCATAGCTTGGGAGGTCAACCAAATAATTACTAAACTTGAAATGCTTTTGGATTTTCCTATTCTCATCCTCGCACACCAGATACAATAAGGCATGGTCAAAGATGTTTGGAGGGAGAATCTTCAAAATAGTCTCCATGTTGTTTTGGAACCACTCAGTGTTGCCCAATACTCTATCAGTTCTAGAGTATATGGTACCAACATCATGTTTGTTAGACCATGTGAAATAGCCTCCTATGAGCATACACCGGAGTAAGATAATGTTTAAAACCACCTATGTTGTCATAGAAACCACAATGTATAAATTGACTACTACTCTACACAAACTTCACATCCACTATATTGCTATCCCAATGAATCCAGATCCTTCCATTAGTATGGTCTTTGTAGTTGTCCATGTAATTATCATAAATTTGAATATTCTCCCGAATTGACTTGGCTTTAGTTTCTTTCACTCTAGTTTCGATCAAGATAATGATAGTATGCCTAAGCTCATGGAGATGGGACCTAATCTCACGAATTTTGCCTACTTTATTGAGTCCTCTTTTGTTCCATGAGACTAACATGGATCAATGTTTGTGATCACAAGAGGTTCATTCAAAATCTCAAGTGCCTCAAAACCATTGTTACAATTGATATTACTAAATGATCCAATTAAGATGCTTTTACTTTTATCTCTTGTTGGTTTCCACACTGTTGTCCAAGGTTCCCTATATTCATCCATTTTTTCCTTTTCTTCAGTTTGCTTTATGGGTGTTGTTACCTTGATTACTTCAGGAGGCTTAGGCTTAGGTCTCCATTTCTGAATCTTTCCTCGATCACTACACTTGTGCCCTATCTTTTGGCATTTCTCACAAAATATTGCCCTCCACTCATACTCCACAAGATGAATTATCTTACCACATGCATAATTCCTAATGGCAATTTCGTTGACCAGCTGTTGTGTATTATCCACTTCTACCAGAATACACGCATAAGACACAGGTAATTTACTCTCTGTACATTCATCAGTCACAAGGGGGTACCAATTGCACTACCAATTTTGCTGAGGCTTTTTGCTCCCCAATGGTGGAAAGATAGTTAGGGAAGCTTGATCCAGATTGGCAGTGTTCTTAGTAGGTCTTTCTTCGGATTGAGCTCAGGCCTTCATTCCTTCAAGATCATATGCATATTTCTGATCGTGTATGGGCCTTTCATCATCACCGCATCCCTATCTTCATGGGAGTTGAATCTTAGCAAAAAGTACCCTTCATCATGGTAGTAGAGATCTGGAATCTTCACGAAATTCCACATTTTCTGCATAAAATTCTTCACAATGTTCATACTCAAATCCTTGCCCACCATGTACAAAATCAAAGCATTATCCCAAAATTGAACCTCAGTTTCAATATCTTCTTGTTCAATTTCGATTTCAACCACACCATTCACCAACTTAGACGCCACATATTCCATAGTCATATCTTTTGCAGGTCCCGGTTATCGCTAAGAACATCCATCTAAAGTTTTCGTTCCTTCGGCATCGATTTCACATCTTCCGTTATGGTTTCCGATTGCCCAATCTTGGATTTCTCATTGTTTTTGAAAACATCATCATCTGATTTTGTTTTTGTACTTGGCATTTCCCCCTGAACCTCTGGCTTTGTATGATTCTCCGACGATGGTGGCACCTTGGATTTCGGCCATCCACGCCCCCGTTTTGTCATCAGAGAAAGAGAGAGAAGTTTTTGACCATGACCTTTTATTATTATTATTACTATATTATTATTATTATTATTATTATTATTATTATTATTATTATTATTAAGTCTAATATAAGATTCTTAAAAAAAAAGATTCTGGTATAATTGTTTTGGCTGACTATATGAATAGAATTCAAGCTTTTTAATATGATTGTAAATAAAATATATTGTATTAAAATTTATTTAAGTATGTAATATATATATATATATATATATATATATATATATATATATATATATATATATATATATATATATATATATATATATATATATATATATATATATATATATATATGTGTGTGTGTGTGTGTGTGTGTGTGTGTGTGTGTGTGTGTGTGTGTGTGTGTGTGTGTGTGTGTGTGTGTGTGTGTGTGTGTGTGTGTGTGTGTGTGTGTGTGTGTGTGTGTGTGTGTGTGTGTGTGTGTGTGTGAGAGAGAGAGAGAGAGAGAGAGATATTGGATCAAACTCTAGTATGGTCGAAGGGTAGCTTCTGATTCGATAGGAATTAAGCATGAGGTTGAAGTATGTTCGATTGCTGCTGTCGGAGTAATGCGTATTGTAGTCGAAGTTTGTTCTAACATGCTTTAGTCAATATTTCTAGGGTTGTTAGCATGTTGAATTTGGTCTTGCTTGTAAGCTCAATTGTTTAAGTTAGCTTGTAATGGGTAATTGTTGAAAAGCTCATTAAGTTAGTGTGCTATTTTTCTTATAAATAGGATGCTAGTTTCTCAATCTTGGCATAAGGAAAAATAGGAAGATAAAATCGTAATTTCAAGAGAGAGAGAGAGGTTATTTTGTTATTCTTGTATACTTGTAATCTTATTTCTAAGAGAAAGGAAAGAATAACAGTTTATAACCAATCCTTGTTGTTCCTTTTGTTTTACCTTGTTTTCTTTGTTAACCCTAATCCTTGTGTGTTTCTTGATCATAAAGAAACCGTTTATACTTTGTTTAAAGACATCCGATTCACAACAAATTGTTGCAGTGAGCGTAGAGAAGATGCCTTCAACAAAGTATAAGATTGAAAATTTCACCGGAGTGAACGACTTCAGTCTGTGGCGCTTGAAGATGAAAGCCCAACTGGTTCAGCAGGGTTGTTTGGAAGCGTTGAAGGGAGAGGCAGCCATGGACGTTGCGTTAACGAAAAAAAAAAGATGGGCATGATTGAGAAAGCCCACAACACAATATTGTTGAGCCTTGGTGATAAGGTTCTTCGACAGGTATCAAAGGAGACTATAGCATCGGGATTATGGGTGAAACTTGAAAGTTTGTACATGACCAAATATCTGGTGAATCGACTCTACCTAAAGTAAGCTTTATGTTCATTCAAGATGAGTGAAGACAAAGTGTTGGCTGAGCAGTTGGATATGTTCAATAAGCTGATTCTTGATCTTGAAAATATTAATGTAAAGATCGACGATGAAGATCAAGCACTGTTATTGCTGTGTGCTTTTCCCAGAACACATGCTCACTTCAAAGAAACTCTCTTGTATGGAAGGGAGTCCCTGACCTTTAAAGAAGTTCAATCAGCCTTGTATTTTAAGGACTTGAACGAACGAAAGGAGCATAAACCATCGACGGTGGGCGAAGGTTTGACCGTTAAGGGAAAATTCTTGCGAAAGGATGGTAAGTTCGACAAGAAGAAAGGTAAAAGTCAACAAAAATCTTATAGTGGCGAAACATCTGGTATCCGGTGTTATCACTGTAAGAAAGAGGATCACATAAGAAAGGTGTGCCCTGAACACCTGAAAGATCATGGAGGTAATGGCAACACAGCCATTGTTCAAGATGACTTCGATTCATCTGATGTTCTTGTGGTTTCAAGTGGAGACTCGAGAAAATATTGGATTATGGATTTTGCACTTGGCACATGACTCCAAATAGAGAATTGTTCGAGGAGATATGTGATCAAGATGGTGGATCTGTGCTGCTGGGAAACAACAAATCTTGCAAAATTACAGGTATTGGATCTGTTAGATTCAAGCTCTATGATGAGTCAATAAGGTATGTACCTGACTTGAAGAGAAATTTTATTTCTCTTGGTGAATTCGACAGAGAGGGATACGTTTTTCAAGGAGAGAAAAGTATCCTAAGACTTAAGAGTCATGAAGGGGTCGAAGGAAGTCTTGAGAGGCTTGAAGAAATAAGGCTTGTATACCCTCGAAGATGAGGTCATAAGTGGTTCAACAAATGTTACATCCACAAAACATGTGTCGAAGACAGAATTATGGCACATGAGATTGGGCCATGTCAGCGAAAGAGGCCTGGTCAAATTGGGGAAGCAGAACCTGCTAGGAGGTGACAAAGTCGAAAAGTTGGAGTTTTGTGAATCTTGTGTATTTGGTAAATCCTGTAGTGTGAAGTTTAACAAAGGCAAGCAAATAACACATGGATCCCTGGGTTACATTCATGCTGATCTTTAGGAGCCTGCAAGGAATCCTTCACACTCAGGTGCAAGGTATTTTCTATCCATCGTTGATAACTATTCCAAAAAGCTATGGGTATTCATTCAGAAGACGAAGGATGAAACTTTTAAGAATTTCAAAAGATGGAATATTCTGGTCGAAACTCAAACTGACAAAAAGGTTAAGAGGTTAAGAACCGACAATGGCCTTGAATTCTACAACGAAGCGTTCGAAAGCTAATGTGTTGAGTCTGGGATTGCAAGGCATAAGATTATAGCAAATACTCCTAAAAAAATGGCTTAGCTGGGAGATTCAATTGAACAATCCTTGAAAGGGTTAGATGCATGTTGGTTAGTGCTGGATTGAAGAAGGTGTTTTGGGAGGAAGCTGTTTTGACAACAGCTTACCTGATAAATAGATGTCCCTCGACTGTCTTGGGAATGAAGACACCTGAAGAAGTTTGGTCGAGACATCCACCTAGTCTCGACAGACTGAGAGTATTTAGCTGTGTGGCCTATGCTCATATTAGGCAAGACAAGGTCGAACCTAGAGCTCTGAAATACATGTTAATGGGATACCCCGAAGGAGTCAAAGCTTATAGGCTATGGTGCCTAGAGCAAGGTCACAAGAGGTGTGTCATCAGTCGAGATGGAGTTTTCAATGAAGCAGAGATGGATTTCAAGAAACCTGATAATGCTGACGAAGAGTTGGAACTGAGAGAGATTCCTGTTGAGGTGGAGCATCTTGATGCTCAATTGCCTACCCCAAATGAAGTTGAAGAAGACGCAGAAGATGTTGTCGAAGATGAGGAGACTGATAATGACTACCTTCTAGCAAGAGACAGGTCGAGGAGAGTCATCAAGCCACCTCAGAGACTTGGGTATGCAGACCTTATAGCTTATGCCTTAATCTCTACAAGTGAGGTTCTAGACGAAGAACCTAGAGACTATAAGGAAGTTATGAGGAGTCGAAAGAAGACTGAATGGCTGAAGGCCATGGATGATGAGATGAAATTTCTTTATAATAACAACACCTGGGAACTGATCAAGAAACCTGTTGGAGCCAGATTAGTTAGCTGTAAATGGATTTTCAAAGTTAAGAAAGGAATCGAAGGAGTGGCGTCGAAGAGATACAAGGCAAGCTTTGTTGCTAGGGGGTTCACTAAAAAAGAAGGTGTCAACTTTAACGATGTGTTCTCTCCTATTGTGAAGCACAGATCCATCAAATGTTACTTACCACAGTGGCACAGTTCAACCTTGAACTTAAACAAATGGATGTGAAGACTGCATTCTTATATGGTGACTTAGATGAAACAATCCTGATGAGGCAACTTGAAGGGTATGTCGAAAAAGGGAAGGAAGATTATGTGTGCAAGCTGAATAGATCCTTATATGGACTGACACAATCTCCTCGACAGTG